AAAATTGATGAAAAATGACAGATGAAGATGTGACAGCTGAAATGCTACAGCTTACTTAGTACTATGGAATGTGAATAATTAATTTACAATAAAATAATTACCCTTCACTGGTTTAGAGTCTTGCCACAGTAGATTTTTTTTGAATGAATGAATTGCATTAGCTTATGAAGATTTAGCTACTATTTAAACATCTTAGAAACAAGTAGTATGGATGTGTGTGTATGAATAAGGATAGGAGAGAATGACCTAGTTGTATATATGTGCGTGTAGGATGTGAAAGCTTGAAGCTTGACAAGAGACTTTACCAAGAGACTTGACGTTGCATTAACATGTTAAGTCTGGAAAATATGTCATTAATATACAAGATATTAAACCCCAAACCTCACGTTTTTCCTTGTAAGAGTAGCTAGCTCTCACTTAACTCTGATAGTTTACACAGCATTGCACTAGGCAGTTAAGTATGCATTTTTTGCATAAATTAGCAAGATATTGGCTTACCTTGACTATGTCTATAAAGACTTTTTACAAATGTCACAATTGACTCCTTAAGAAAATGCGCCTTACTTTTGTCTCCTTAATTTTCTCTTATGAGAAGTAAAATAGTTAAGTTCAACGTTTGGGTTCAGACATGTTTACAGAGTTAGTTAGGAAGCCAGGATCTTCATAGAGAGGCCCTTTCATTAGCTTCCTGTTCCTTCTTATCTAATTGTAACCCTCTTGCGCATCTTCCTAAGTACACAATAACCTTTCAAATTGATTTGTTCCAGAAATCATTCTGGCAAAATGTTGCTTTTCCTGTGAGTTATCTAGAATAGAGACCAGCCTCCATTATTCCACGCTGCTGCTGTAGTGCTGACCCGGGTTGACTTTGTGGTACAGCCAGAAATAGACACTAAGCATTCCCAATCCACTTGGTCCCTCCGTGAAGAAGGGTAAACGATTTTTAATAGAAGATTCATTATTTTCTTTGAGCAGGCTTAGTTTTTACCATCTCAGAGAAGCAGCTCATTGCTAGGATCCCTCGAGGTTCATCAAATCATTACCATGAATGAAGTAAATTTACAATGTGTGAAGTGGTATAGTATTTTTGACAGAATGATACAGTGGAAAAGAGTAGGCTATGGGATCAGAAAGACCTGGTTTCAATTTCAACTCTACCATTTAACATCGTATGACCTTGAATACTTTCACACCCTCATTGAATCTGTCTCATCATCTGTAAAATGGGAGTAAAAACAGCTTTTTCATAGGATTGCAGGAGGGTTAAATAAAGTGCTGTATAAAAAGTACCTAGCAAACATCTAATCTGGAAGTTACTTAAGGATCTTTTATCTTCTCCCATATCTTTGAATTGTTTTATTTCACTATAAAACAATAAATGGAAATGAAATTTAAAATATCTTTCATATTAAGAGACAACTTAACTAGATACTAATGGTTTATTTAGGCTTTTATTACAAAGCAAACATCTCCTTCTGTCTTTCCTTGTACTGTATATTTTTCTTGCTGAAGCTACCAACGCTGTTGGAACATCAGTTGATCATCAGCAGTATGAAGGCATTAAGTTCTTTACCTCTGTTGACAAATTTGATCCTCACAACCCTATGATTAACATTATTACTGTTTTGACTTTACAGATTAGGAGGTTTTAAGAGAATAAGTCATTGCTTCAAGGTCACACAGCCTTGTGGGCCTGGAGTTGGGACCCAGGCTCGGTGGAGCCTCCTGGCTTCTGTTGCTCAGTCTTGGAGTAGCTGGCTTCGACTTTGAAAATTTACAATGTCCTACTCTTGCCAGCTACAGCTATCATTTTTACCTCCATTCTCCTCAGAGCTGCTCATCTATTCCTTTTTCTCCAGCCTTTATAACTTGTAAGCACATCCACCTTTTTTCTCTACTATGGTGAGGTCTCATGCTAAAAGCAATTGAGCATGCTTAATGATAGCAGAAGGTATAACTATTAGAGGAGAACACTTCCTCTTTTTTTACATTTAGTTCTGCACTGTAGTCCAGAGGGGAGTTCAAGATAGGAATTAATCTGGTGGAGGAAATGGGAAGACTGGCTATTGCCATGGTAAGTTCCAGGAAACAGATTATTAAAAACTATAGTAGCAATATTAGCCATCAACATTAGTGCCCACGGGTCTCAGATATATTGGCTTTTTCATATCTGCTTCTTTCTTCTTCAGTAAGAAATCTTTCAGTGTGAAGACTTTGTTCTGTTTAATCTCCTCATTCATTCAGTGACTAACTATTGGATGTCTACTATTTGGTAACCCGGTGATTTCTAGCGACAAGACAAAGTCTCTACTCTGATGTGGGAGAATACTAGGAATAAATAAGTAAATAAACAAGATCCTATTCGGTAGTCCTAATGCCGTAATGAAAATAAAACAGGATGATGTTATAAAGAGATGTAGGAGCCTTTTGGATGGGATGCTTACGGAAAATTTTGCTGTCCTCTGAGAAGGCTGGTTCTCTGAAGCAGGCCTCTGCTGTGGCTCCCTGCCCCTGGAGAGCAATTTAGCTGCTATGATTGATGTACTGGTGACAAGGGAGTTACTTCCCTTTGATGTTTTTATTTGATGGCTGTGAATCCTCAGTAAATATAAAATGCTGACAACTTAAATGTTATAGCAGGAACAATGCAGACAGGATACAACAAGCAAAATCCTTGAGCATGAATATGAATTGTTGAAAAATCATCTTACGTATCTTAAGAACTGTTTTTAACACAATAACCCCCTTTGTGTTAGTCTAAGGTGGCTCCAAGTGGAAGTTACTCAGAAAACATAGGTTAGAAGATCTGGAATTTCCACGTGATAGCTAGGCAGTCCTGGGCAGCTGTCTTAGGCTTTCTGAAATTGAGTTTCCTCGTGTATAAGATAAATATATCACTTTACTGGGTTGTGAAAAGGAGACATTTGTGAATGAAGGAATCTGAGTACCTGTTTTAGTGCCCACCACAAGGTTGGTTTTCAATAAATATTTTCTTGACACTGAACTATGATTTCATAGTTTTGATGGAGAAAAAATGTACTCTTACTTCTTATAAGGAAGCATCTCTGCTTTTAGCACAGTACATGCAACTGTGTCATTTTGAAGTCCACTGTCTCTCTGTTCTCCCTGCCTGTAATGCTGTCCCACACGGAAATGTATTTTAACTTCTCTGGTTAAATGACTTGGGTATTATACTCATGAAATTTGCCCAGAACTTCCCACCTCAGCACTCATGTGAAGCTGAATTCATGTATATATGTATCTATCTGAATATTTTAATTAGGATTTTCTTCCTCTCTAATTCCTTTCTTTCCCATTTAGTATTTTGAGTTTGATGAGGTCCAGAAAAAGTGTTGCACCCTTAAATTTTTTGCCATGTGTATCCTAGGTCTAGCGTACAGCAAAATTCTGCATGTCACTGGTTGCCTTTGAAAGTGGAAATCATGTTTTGATCATGCCCCAATGAGCTCAGCACATTTTGGGTGATCAATAACTATTATCTAACAATGGAGAATTGTGTCTTTTCATGAAGTGTGAGGGCTAATGCCTACAATCTGATCATTTGGGGAAAGACTTCCTACAGGGCTTGGGTGGTTTTCAGAGAGGTTTGAAAGAAAATTGAGATCAGGAAGTGTACCTAGAAGTAGACTGGAGAAGACAGTGAGAAGATGAGAAGTGAAGACTCTGAGGTGCTCTATCTGAATGAATGAAGCAGAAAAGGGGGTTGGGAACCCTTCTGTGATAGGGTATATTATTCTGTGTTACAGATCAAAGAGTTAGTTTGGCCATTTTGTCAGAGAGGAAGCCTTATTTTTTAACATTATTTTTAATGAAATGGAGTTAGCCTTAGATCTGGAGAGGTTTTCCTCTTCATTTCTTTGGCTGAGAATTATATAGTGATCAGAAGAAATGTTTCCATTCTTGTTGAACTTCTTTCCCTGCTTACTTACTCCCCCCAACATAACCAGAATTAATACTTCCACTGCATTTCCAAAGCCTGAAGATTCTGTTTTTAAATAGCTTGCTTAAACTATAACCAAAATTTTAATCATCTCCTTTTTTTTTAATAAAAGTAATCAATCTTTATATAAACCAATAAAGGAATATAGAATAAAAAAAGAAAAATCTAACAGTCTCCTAAAATCCCATCACATGGTCCCATATTAATATTTTGATTTATATCAGACCAACCATGCAAATTATGGAATGAAGGAGAAGGAAAGGCCATGGAGGTGATAGTGCCCAGGAGAGGAGCCAGCTCTGAAAGAAAATGAAATCAGAGGCTCTGAGCTGACCCTGAGCAGCTGACATAGACATATGTATATACCTTATATAATCATGTATTTTTAAAAACAGAGTCATTGTATACAAATTATTTTGTGACTTGCTATTTTTATTTATTATGTTGTAAGCATCAGTCTATATGATTAAATAGTCTTCTAAAGCATCTTTCATATAGCTAAGTATTCTGTTGTTTGTTCCACAATATTTTAAACCAATTCTCTTTGTTGAATGTTTAGGTGATTTCCATCTCTTAAAAATTATAAACTATGTAGACATGAAGATCCAAGTAGATAAATCCACATTCACAACCATCATCATTTCCTTAGGATAAATTTTTAGAAATTATATTACAATGTCAAAGGATATGCATGTTTAAAAGATTTTTTTGATACATATTGCCCTGCCCAGCTGTGATCTAAAAGAGTGATTGCCAATTTATATGCCCACTGGCTAGGTGTGAGAGTGTATTTTTCCACACATTTGCCCAGGACACAGATGCTATCCCTCTGTGAATATTAGTAGCTTGGTGTCATTATCATACACACATACATACACTCATATGTATGTATCTATGTGTCTGGTTGTATATCTATAATCATCCTTACTTACAGAATATGTTTTATCTTATGAACATGTTAACCTATTGTGTCAAATGAGTTTGTAAACATACACTTCTGATATGTCTGCCCCTAAATGTAATTATCTTGGCTTCTTAGGTGCCTGCACGAGAATCACCCACAGCCAGTGTCAGATGCTGCCCTACCGCACCACGCTAACACCTCTCCTCTCAATTATCAAAAACATGGAAATGGAGAAGTTCCTCAAGTTCTTCACATACCTCCAGCGCCTCAGTTGCTATCAACATATCATGCTTTTCGGCTGTAGCCTCGCCTTCCCTGAGTGCATCGGTGATGGTGATGACAGGTATTTTGGAACCAAAATCATTCAGTGATAAGAGTCAGTTGTAGCAGAAGTGTCTGACAGGGACAGAATCATCCCAGGCTATCACTTTTTGTTTTTGTTGTTGTTAAGGGAGAAAAAAACCCACACCACTCATAGCCAGTGGTAATTCGTTTAAACCAGAAATTTTTTGAAAACCTGGAATAATTTTATTTATGGGAGGAAATTATTCAGGCTATTAGATGGAGGCGGTCAGTTGGGATCCTCAATAGCTGTTTCAGTGAGAGTCTGGCAGAAGACAACACACTCAAAGGGGTGACTGAAAAGACTTTATTGAAGAGAAGATTTATGGGGATATGGGCAGGGTTAAGAGAACAAATAAGTGATGGAAGGCACTGGGATCTCACCATAGGCCATAGGAGATAGGAGATTAGTTCTACCACCCAAGACTTGAAGGGGGAAAGGGCGAGCATCACCTGGAGAGAGTTGTAGCTACGGGCAACGTCTCCCAACAGGCCAAGTTCTGCACAACTCTGGGCAGAGGAACAGAGTCTCTGCCAGCCCTTCAGTCCTACCAGGAGACCGAAGAAGGAATAAACACCCTGACCTCACTCTCCTCCTGCTCTCCCATTTCCCAGAGCCTCCCACCAACTGAACTCACCCACAACCATTGGGTAAGGGTGTGCAATCCCTGTGAGCTCAATAGATGAGACCCCAAATCTCATCTAAGTATCATCAGCTCAAACGTCCCTCTAAATCAGGTATGGGTGAGATGCTGGGTGGTTCGTATGGCCCACACTAAAACCCAGAGCAGGCTGAGGAGGATGAAGTGTAGATGCAGAGGGACAAACAGAGACCATCCAGCACAGTATCAAATAGGATTAGAAAAAATCTTAAATAAGAATAACTCAGTGAAAAGTATGTCATGGAATACTTGAAACACTATGAATACAGTTTTTTAAAAATTTCACAGCATGTGTTAACTATATAACCACATCAATTATTTTCTGAATTAAAATGTTACGAATTTTTCTGAACTGTAATGTTAGAATGAATTGCATTTTCAAGTGCCAATATGTTCCATGTTGTTGACCTTAATTTTATTAGGGCATAAAATAAATTTTGAATAGGGCAAAGGCATTTATTATTTTAACTGGAGAAAGCCTACGTTGCCATAGAATAAACCTAGATAGAAGAGAAACAGTAAATTCTGAATTGTGGAAGTAAGTAAAGAACTATTAGCAGACACAGCATTCAGGAAAACATTTGTCAGAAAGAATCATTGACAGAGGGTGCTTTCACGGGAAAAGAAAGGAGAAACTCTACCAGATCTCTCTCGTGAGTTAAGAGATGGTAGTGAAGCGGCCCTTTATATTCCTAGGATGGTGGTCGTGTAATGCTGGTTGTACTAGTTTCCTAGGGCTTTTGTAACAATTACTACAAGCTGGAGGCTTAAACAAGAGAAATTTATTCTCTCACAGTTCCAGAAGCTAAAGTCCAAAATCTGGCAGCGCCGTGCTCCCTCTGGGGGTTCTGGGAGGAGAACTCATTTCCCTCCTTTACCAGCTTCTGGTGGTTTCGGGCATTCCTTGAGTCGTATCCACACCCCACAGTCTCTGCTGCCATCTTCACATTGCCTTCTCCTCTGTGTGTCTGTGTCTTCTCTTCTGTCTCTGCTGAGGATGCTTGTCTTTGGATTAGGGCCCTTCCAGATAACCCAAGATGATCCCATCATCTCAAGGTCCTTAACTTAATCTTATCTGCAAAGACCTTTTTTCCAAATAAAGTAAAATTCATGGATTCCAGAAGTTAGAACATGGACACATTTTTGGGGGAGTCACCATTCAACACACTACAGTGGCTATGGAGCCACGTCTCAGCCCTCTCCTCGGTAAAACAGAGATAATAGTTGTATTTACTCTACAATGTTCAGGTGAGAATTAAATGACAGAGAGAGCTTGGAACAGTGCCTGGCTTTTACACAGAGCTCAGTAAGCGTCAGCAAATAGTGGATTGAAAGGGAGAGGTGGTACCAGTGCAATTGAAAGAGCACAGAAAACTATTTCTAACATATACTAAATATTGCAGGATTGCCAAAAAAGTGTAAAATACTGTATAGATTAAAGGAAAATTAGGTAGAATACTTAAGGCAGCTGAAATTGTATTCTAGTTCCATTTCTCCTTAATTTCAAACAATTTCACTCACATCTCTTTGCTTTAATTTCTCTGTAGACTCATGTGGGTGCATAAATAAGACAGTGAAGAGAATGCATTCAGCCTCCAGGAGGTTCTTAATTCGTGTTGATCATCCTTATTATAATTCAATCTCTGCTGTCAGTTAAATCAGTTGTAAAATTCTAGTTAAACTGCTCATAGTCTTCGGGGAACTCTTAGGTAAAATTTTTTTTCCTCCTAATCTGGTCCATGCCAAAAAATGCTCTCATATGAGAGTTTTCAATTTTCTATTATAATGGATAATAATTTATAGTTAGTTTTCAGATATCCTTTGGGGACGTATCCTATTCTTTTTTTTTTGGAGAGGAAGATTATCCCTTAGCCAACATCTCTGCCAATATTCCCCTATTTTGTATGTGGGATGCCACCACAGCATGGCTTGATGAGTGGTGCATAGGCCTGTGCCGGGATCCAAATCCGTGAACCCTGGGCTGCCAAAGCAGAGCATGCGAACTTAACCACTACACCACTGGGCCAACCCCCTATTTTTTATTATTACATTTATTATCGTCTTTAATTTTATAATTACACTTTCAGACTGGTGCTTCCTGGTGTCATTTACTATGTGCTTGGGAACTGCAAGCTAAATTTAATAAGCCAAGTAAGTCCAGAAAGGTAAAATGTATTGTGGAAAATAATTCTAAAGTCAAACATATTTTTCTATAGAGGAAGGGATTGGGAGGGCAAAAGGGATGATTAGGCTTACATATGGGGGGATGGACTATAATTAGTTTTTGCGTGGTGAACATGATGTAATCTACACAGAATTCGAAATATATTACGATGTACACCTGAAAGCTATATAATGTTATAATCCAATGTTACTGCAATTAAAAAAAACCCAAACATATTTTTCTTAGGTTCCACTATTTTGTATCACCCATTATACTAATTTTCCCTAATATTCAAATTATGGAGAATTGCTTATATTCCACCCTAGAGAAAGCAGCCACTTTACATTTAAAATTTAATTTAAAAAGATCTAGTGGGATATACAAATGGTATAGTTTTCAACCTGATTCCATTAAGATCTCAAATACTCATTAGCTTTATTATATAATAATGAACTTTAGCAGTTTCTACTTTAGACTAGGCTTGCTTTTAATAAATGTGTGTATCATGTACTATAACACAGACTCATTGAAGTGGACTATAATTTGTATGGATTCAGTAAAATATGTCTCAAAATATAGAGATTGAGCTGATAAACCATTTGGGTAGCCCTAAAAACATGTGAATTAGAAGGAATAGCTTAAAAATATCAGTGAGTAGCTAGAGAGAAATTCACAGTTCCCAGGCCTGAGAATAACAGGTGCTTCTGGATGACATTTGATAGACAATGTACACTTATGGTCTCTGAGTTTGGAAGAGGAAGCAGGCATTGCAGCCACATGCTTTTGATGGATAACCATCACTCTTTCCCACCTCGTTTAAATAATAGGCCTATAACTTTATCAAAACTGGAGGCAGATTAATTGGCCTGGAGCGTCCGTCCTTGGCTTTGCTTTTAGAAGACACCCGGGAGACCCTGCTGATGGTCATCACCCCACTGAGAGAAACTCAGTGCTCGTGAAATGAGTTCTTAACATTAAGAACTTGACATATTTGCTATTGATTTTTTCCTTTGGAACACTGATTTGCCACTAAATCCTTAGCAGAAATTCTTCATATCTGTGGAAATGAACCTAAAATTCTTCATCCAGCTAGATGACTAGAGATTAAAGATTATATCTCAAACCTGGGAACTGCAGGACAGTTTTCTGTAGGTACTCAATTCCTATAAGGATTGCGGTGTGAAGATCAAATGAGCCCCCTCAAAGGAGCTTCTTCAAAAGCGCTATACTTTTCCCAAATAAGTACGTTCACTGGAGATTAGAGAATTTAATCTGGTAACTGCAGAGCATGACCTTGAAAGTTTGGGGCAGATGAAATCTGATTCAAACTATAGCTCTGTCAATTGCCAGTTATAAGACCCTGGGCACTTGCTGACCCTCAGTTTCCTCATTATTGAGAGTAATAATACCTACTTCATGGGGTTTGTTTCTGTGTGTTAAACAGAGTGATTTATATGAAGTGCTCATACATGGTCTACACTATCTGATACACAGTAACTGCTCCATAAATAGTTACTACTTTTACTGATATGGTGGTCAAAGATGGTATGTGAGTTTCTAGGAGAGTGTAAACTTCATCACTTCTTTCAGATAGGCAAGATTTGCATATTTTTCACATTCTTCCCACCTTCTAATCCATTTCCCACTTATCTGCCAAAGTGATAATTTAAAAACACAAATTAGATGATGTCATTTCCCTGCCTCTCCTCTTTCTGGGGCGTTCCATTAGACTTAGGTTACAAGCTAAATCCCTCGCCATGGCTTTTGAAGCCTTCCTTCCTTCTATAGTGTCATCAACCCTGTCCTGGCTGCATCAACCTTTCTATTTCTCGTAAATGCCAACCTCTTTCCAACTTCCTTTGCACATACTGTTCCCTTTACCTGGAAGCATCTGTCCCCTTGCACCAAGCCCTCTGCTCAAAAGACATCTCTGCAGAGAAAACTTTAGCTCAGGGCTAATCTTCCTCAAAAAAAAAAAAAAAAAAAAAGACTTTAGGTCAACTCTAGTTGAAAATCTTAGACTTAGGGTTTATAGAAAAAGCACAAACAAAACAATAATAAAAATGCCTAGAGGATAATGACCAGGATGGTGATTCAGCGTCTTTTCATGTGAAGAACAGTTGAGGGACCTTGAGATGCGTAATCCTGTGGGTGCACCATGGCCATCTTCACATG